AGTCGAGAAGGGTTATCTGCCAACCAAAGACCTTTGAGTTCGACTACGCTCAGCTCCAAGGCACATCATTTGCAGCATAGCTTAAGTCGAGAAGGGCTATCTGCTAAAGACCCCCAAGTTCGATTACACTCAACTTCGAGGGCACATCATTTACAGCATAACTCAAGGCTAGAAGGGTTATCTATGACCAAAAGACCTTCGAGTTCGACTACGCTCAGCTCCAAGGCACATCATTTGCAGTATAGCTTAAGTCGAGAAGAGCTATCTGCCAAAGACCCTTAAGTTCGATTACACTCAGCTTCAAGGGCATAACATTTACATCATAACTCAAAGCTAGAAGGGTTATCTGTCAGCAAAGACCTTTGAGTTCGACTACGCTCAGCTCCAAGGCATATCATTTGCAGTATAGCTTAAGTCGAGAAGGGCTATCTGCTAAAGACCTTCGAGTTCAATTATATTCAACTTAGAGGCAAATCAAGTTTACAGCATAGCTCAAGGCAAGAAGGGCTATATGTCAATAAAATTGTCGAGTTCGACTCTATTCAGCTCGTTGACACATCAATTAGACCACTTTCCGATGGCAGTCAAGGTTTTCAAGTCAATGAGAAGACCGGGGTTAATTGCGCCTTGGTGACAAAAAAACTGCTTTCCGGCAGCATAGCTTAAGTCGAGAGAAACTATCTATCAGCGAAGACCTTGTGAGTTTGGTTTCATTCAGCTCGAGGGCCTATCAACTACATGGTGGAGTAAAAGAATTATTTTCCCAGTCGAATTTTTGAACCAAGGTCTTTAAATCAAGAAGAAGATCGAAGTTGACTACAATTGGGCAACAAGAAGCCGCATCCCGATTCAAATCTCGAACTACGACTTCAATTCCGTATCATTTCAAGGTGGACTCGACTTCATGACGGAGGAGCCATCTGCAACTCAATTCGACAGGGAGTTATTCTTCAACTCCACCGAACGAAAATTTGTGTCTTTTTATCTTTATCCTATTTTTCGTTCTACGAAAAAGGACAAAGAGGGGCAGCTGTAGACACTCATTTTCGTCCCATTTTTTTATTTTTTTTTCTACATATATATATATACAGTATATAGTTTGAAAACATTTTTAATATATATATAATTTTGAAAAGCATGTTTGAAAACATTTATATATTATATAGTTCTTAAGTCATTTTTGAAAATTAATATAATATATGGTTTTCAAAACATTTTTGAAAATATATATATTATATAGTTTTTAAAAACATTTTTGAAAATTAATATAATATATAGTTTTTAAAACATTTTTGAAAATACTTGTTATATAGTTTTTAAAACATTTTAAAAATATATATAGTTTAAAAAAACATTTTGAAAACATAAATATATTATATAGTTTTTGAAATCATTTTGAAAACATATAATATATAGTTTTAAAAACATTTTTAAAAACTATATAATTTTGAAAACATTTTAAAATATTTTTAAAAGTATATATTATATAGGTTTTGGGAAATTATTTTTTATATTATTATTATTTTCCCCCTTTGCTCTGTTTTATTATTATTAATTTCATTTTTATTTTCGTTTTTAGGGTCCAATCTGTCCAGGTCCAGGGTCAGGGTCTAACATTGGGCCTGATCCAGCCCAGTTACGTTTAGGGTTTTCATAACCCTAACATCAGCCTTGTCACAGCGCCACATAGGAGGTTCCAGAAGCATGGAGCCAAGCAATCAACGCCCAGCGCACATTCCGGCCGCACCAACGGGATTGAACCATCCCGAGGCGGCCGGTACCATGAACTGGAAGATCGAAACAAGCAACAACCCACATCCCGTTATTTTCGAGAGCCAAACAACCAACACCGGGGCTATAAAAAGCCCCCGGTGAGGCATCGAGAGAAAAAATGACGGAAACCAACGGCAGAATCACGGCCACAAAGAACCAAACATCAACACAAAATAGAGAACACATATCTACACCAAACGTTAACCAAATACATAACCACAGTACACCGAGAGCCATAACCAAACACAAGTCCAAACGAAACACAACCAGAACGCAAAATAAACCAAAACAACAGCAAAAAACAAAAACAAAAGCAGACAGCCCCGATCTAGGCCACGAAGGGCCATTGGAAGCGGAAAGGTCGCCGGAGACGGGTAGGTGTCGAACGGTTTTTTGTAGATCTACGGTTATTTGGGTGTGTTTTAAAGATTTGGGGCTCAGATTCGGGTGCACGACGTTGGGGGAGTTATTTTGGTAGGTTTGGGTTTCCTACGGCGGCCGGCACGGCGTTGGCACGACGGGGAGACCACCGGAGCTGTGGCCTGATATCTCCCATTTGAGAGAGTTTGAGAGACGAGAGAGAGCGCAGAGAAAGAGGGGAAAATGACCAAATGAGAGAAATGAAGAAACAGAACCCTATTTTCAGCTTTAAATATGAAATTCAAAACGGCGTCGTTTTACGAAGGATTGGTCTGCAAATAGAGGATTTTTAAATCCTCTCCGCAGTCCCTGGTATTTTGGATCGGTTTTCATTTTGGTCACTATTTGTAATTTTGACCCCGAATTTGCAATTCAATTAATTTGGTCCCGGTTTATATTTCTTTTATCTTTGTGAATTGGCTCCTAACTTTTTCAAATTTTTTTTGCAGTCCATTTTAATGTCAATTTGGCCCGCTAATTTTATTTTTTTAATTTGGTCCCCCTACATCTTACTGTATTTTATCGCTATCATTATTATTATTATTCCGTCATATTTTTTTGTTACTATTAAACTTTACCTTTTTTTTCTTTTTTCTTTTTTAATTTTATTTTTATCTATCATATTTTTCTTTCCTCTTTGACTTATTTCTGTCTATTTATTTCTTTTTCACTTATTATTTTTTTTTCTTTTGACTTGTTATTATTATTACTATTTTTGTTTGCGATTCATTTAATATTTGTTTATTGTTTTTTATCTAACATTTTCGATTTTTCTTTTAGAAGAATTTCAACCGATCAAAGGTAAGTAATTCGAATCGGATTTCTAAATTTCAATTTAAATTTTCTAATTTTCGTAATTAAAGACAAACGGCAATTTAATTGGTACCGAAAGGGCGGTTCAAGGGTGCTAATCCTTCCTTGACCGTAACCGACTCCCGAACCCGATTCACTTCTGGTAAAACTCAGATCAGGTAAGATGGTGTCCGACCTACCTAAATTCGTTTTAAAATGGTCGGTGGCGACTCTAACCCAATTCATTCAAGTCGAAGCCCAATTCCGGGGCTCCACTCGAAAGACGGTTACGACAGACTGGTTTTGTGTATTTCATTTGGGAAGAGAGTAATCATAGGCAATTTAGAGAATTGATTCGTTCGGCTGATACGATTGTCAATAGGATAAAGGAGGCTGATAGAATTAAGTTGCATAGATGTTGCATTAACAGGTTGGATGGTGTAAATAGGCAATTGTGCGTTGAATGGGGGTTGATCTAGCTGTTTGTAATGTTTAGTGTAGGAGCTTATTTGCTCTCTTTTTTGGATGAATATAATTTTACTTATCCGGAAAAAAAATTGTTGAATTGCTTTTGTCAAAAAAAATGTTGAATTGCTAATTTCCAAATAATTCGCTTAACAATGTGTAGTAATTTCTTAATTTTCGTATAGTGTGGAAATTAAATTCTGACAAAGAAGGAGGACTGATTTCTTGATTTTGATAAGACCAAAAATAAGGCCAAACCATTGTTACCCACACCTTGCTCGACAACTTTCTCCAAAAGCAGTGTCCCAGTACTTTATTCAACTTGACCATACTGCCTCTTATATTTTTCCCACTTTTTTTTCCTTTCTTACAAATTTAATTTGACTAAAAAATGTTTTTTAAAAAATTATTTGAATCGAATTATTCAAGTGAATTTGAACTTTAAGGTGTTGTTTCTTTTTATCTTTGAAGAAGAAGCACAACTCAATTAACTTTGTCAGACTCAAGGTGCACTACTGAATTTTAACGCTCTAACAAATTATCCAATGTAAATATTATATACAATATAATAAGAATACAAATGCATTGGTCAACTAATGGAAAGATTAGGCTATGACTTTAATTTCAGAATGGATTATATCCAAAGTATAAAACTTTTTGATTGATAAACACAAAAAATAGTTCATTGGATAGACTAAAGTAGAATTTGTTTTTCTTCTGAGGATACTGGCTGGATTAAACTAGAATATGCTTGGCATCATAACGTTTAATTGATAATTATTAGTTTTCAAATCAACTTGAATTTTGGTCTTTGTACTTTTAAAATATATATAAAAAAACCCCTCATACATTAGAAAAATGAGTGAAATAATTGTTTTTTATAATAGTTGGAAGAAAAAATGTTAATTTTATGAGCTGAATTTAACATTAATATGTCGAGAGACGTTTAACTGAATCTTTACATTTAATCTTACCATATTTCATACCTATTCACATGTTAAATGCAAGAATCAAATTTCTATGATACAGTGGGTTGTATGAACATGCCACGTCATACTTAAGCTATTGTTACTTCATTTGATTAAGGCTACCTCATAAAACTAACACTTTTAAATTTGTTATAAAAGTAAGCATTTTACTCTCTTTTTTTAAATTTCGTGACATATATATATAGTCACATTATGCTTATTTTAAAAATTATAAGGACTAAATTTGACTTTGCAGTATAGTACATGGACCTAAACACCAATTTTACCATTAGCATTTAGGTAATCCAATTCCTCAACATATGCAACTATTTGAGTCTCATACTAAAAGAAAATTGTAGAAAAATAATGTATATTTAATTAACCATAAGTGGGATTTTAGCTTTCCTTTTGTGTGAAGCAAGTGGATGGGGGCAATTATGTAATAAGGATGAAACCCCCATGAGAAATTGTAAGAAGTTGGCGTGCGTTGGAAAGAGACAAGCTAGTCCAAAACCCAAATAAAAAGACATGGCAAAAGAACCCAGCATAACTCCATGATGTTCCATGTTTTCCTTCTTCGTTTTCCTCCTTCATTGACCCTTTAACTTTCTCTTTCTTTCGTTGCAACGTTTTCAACAACAATTCCCATGATGTTCCTTGTTTTCCTTCTCCTTGCTCTATGGTTTTCAGGTACCCTTTTTTGTTATTACACCAGTGATTAGTTGACAAATGTCATTAATGATGACTTTGTTATTTTACACATCTTGCATAAGTATTTGTTCAATTATAATACTTTTAAAGAGAATACTATTTTCTTTTACTATTGAGTCTACTCGATAATTTCGATGTCTTGGTTGTCTCTAATGTGCGGTTTAGTCTTTGTTTTTGCAGATTATGGTATGTTACGAGTTGCTTCATTAGGGATCAACTATGGTCAAGTTGGCAGCAATTTGCCACCACCCGATAAGGTTCTTGATCTGTTAAGTTCCCTTATGATCACAAAAGTGAAAATCTACGACACAAATCCTCAAATTCTGACAACATTCGCCAACTCCGGCGTTGAGCTCATTGTCACGGTTGAAAACCAGATGCTATCCGTGGTAATGGACCCTCAACAAGCACTTCAATGGGTTAGCACCCACGTCAAGCCTTATTTCCCGGCCACGAAGATCACCGAGATCGCGGTCGGGAATGAAGTGTTCACCGACGACGACACGTCTCTTATCGGATATCTCGTCCCGGCCATGGTCAGCATCCATGGTGCGTTAGTTCAATTAGGGCTAGACAAGTACATTCTGGTTTCGACACCCAATTCATTGGCTGTTCTTGAAGAATCGTTCCCTCCGTCGGCCGGGAGTTTCAAAGGCGAAGTGTCGGCGATCATGTCAGAGTACCTTCGGTTTCTCGCGAGCACCGGTTCCCCGTTTTGGATCAATGCGTACCCTTATTTCGCTTACAAAGGTGCCCCGGAAAACGTTTCATTGGACTATGTTCTTTTCAACAAAAATCCTGGCATGGTCGATCCTTACACCAAGCTGCACTATGACAACATGTTGTACGCACAGGTAGATGCTGTCGTTTACGCCATGTTCAGGTTGGGTTATAGTGGGATCGAGGTGAGGGTGTCGGAGACCGGTTGGCCGTCAAAAGGCGATCCGGATGAAGTTGGAGCGACACCAGCGAATGCGGCCGTTTACAACAGGAATTTGCTGAGGAGGCAAATGAGGAATGAGGGGACACCTTTGAGACCAAACACGAGGCTTGAAGTGTACTTGTTTGCTTTGTTCAATGAGGATATGAAGCCCGGACCGACCTCGGAGAGAAACTACGGACTTTTTGAACCTGATGGAACCATTGCTTACAATGTGGGACTCTCTGCCTTATCCACAACTTCATCGACATCGACATCGACATCAACATCGTCGTCGTCTTTTTCGTTTTTCCTTACATCATCTGCAGATAAGGTAAAACCATAGCTTCTGTCTTGCTGTTTTATGTTCTTACTTCTTACACCATTTACATTAAACAAAATTTATCAATTGAAAAAAAAGGGAAATTGAGAACTTGTATACAAGAGGATAGGATAGGAGGGGAAACAATACGATATGTACATAGAGTTAACGTCATAATTAATGTCAAAATTTAGTAATTTTGACACTATTGTATATCATTTTTAAAAATTAGAATTTTTTTATCTTCTATTACTTATTTAATTTTATTTGATCAAATGATAAATTATAATAGATAGATAAGGTGCATAAAAGATAATATTAATATGTATTCACAATACTGATGTAATGTAATCCAAAATATATATAAAATCTGTGATAACATGATATAAACAAATAATTTATTAAATAATATAGTTATTTCATCCATGTGTCATATTAGAATGGTCAACTATTTTTTATTGTAATAAGAGATGGACTCGTGATTTTATATAAGAAGAACGGATCTATAAAATTTTAAGTGTAAAAATAAACTATTAATAAAAAAATATAAAAAAAAATACTTAAATTATATGAAAATTTAAAATTTGTAGAGACAATCACCTTACCAGCCTACTTGGGGATGTAGCGTAAATTTCTTGGCTTAATTTTTTTTTTGCTCGACTTTAAATGCTATTTGTTGTGTGAAACAGGCAACAAATATGGGGTACGAAAGATGGGTGTATTGCATGTTTTTGTATTTGCTGGCTTGCCAAGTTTTTCCAAGACGACATTAACAAGTAAAAATGGTGAGTGCCTGTAAATATTACCTTTGGGAATTGGGTCATTTTATCAAGATGAAAGATACCGCCAAGTTAACCTACACCACACTGAGAACTGATGATTGTTTCATGATGAGCATCTTCTTCAACATAATTACCCAACTTCAACAATGGATCAAATTCACCATTATGATAAAAATGGGTATAATTTCAAAACATACCCTTTTCGTGAATTGCGTTGGTTTTATTGTTGAAGATGATGTATAGCTTATTATTATATCCTAGACCAAGCAAACAAATCCCATTGTATTTCTTTTCCATTTTAGCTATTGTAGAAGAATTATTTCAACAATTTCAATCAGAATTCATCATTTACAAATATTGAATCGAACGATTAACTCACTGATTCGAATACGGATAACACGGTTTACCAATTGGTTACAAGAGAAATAAAAGCTTTCTTTTGTTACACTTTTGGACGTGGAATCCATGGCTGTTAACTTTCTCTTTGCTTTATCTTTTCTCTCCCGAAACAACTATAAGAATCTATAGATATAATAAGAAAAGTTGAGACTTTATTTTTGAATCCTTGAGGCTGAGAGTCGCTTTACTCCCTTTGGCCAAATGACCGTCAGCATTATGCCATCCTTTTCTCACAAAGGACACTTTTTCCTTTGGGATCTCTTTCTTTTTCGTTGTCATTTATCTGTTAAGAGGTGTATGGGTGAGACAATGTAAGCTAAGACCTTGTTAATGTTGACGGGATCGATGTACTTCTTGTTCCTACATCACCCAACGTGCTGCACAATCACCCACTACTAAAACTTTAAATCTATATGAGTTGGTATTTAATGCACCCATTGTGTATAACTCTATATAATTTTAGTAAATAAGATCCTAATATATATATAAATAGAAGATAAATTCACTTACTCAATGTAAACCAGTCGAATTTCTTCGTAATTGAGTGAGAAAGCATGACGGATATTGAGTTTTGTGAGAGTAAAGTTCATGTAATTTTGACGTGAATGGAATCGAATGGAAAAGTTTGTTATTAAAGTTGTGTGATCCAAATCTTTTTGATGGCTCAAGATAGTTAAGAAGAAATTCATTCAAAATAAAGATTAAAATAGAGATTTATGGTGACAGGCAAGAGAAACTTACTCAATGGTTTCTGTGTAAATAAGTAATGTATCCCCTACAAATAGACATTAAATATTAGAGTTTATAAATAAGTTCATTAAACTCTAAAATACATTTAATGTTTTTGTTTATACTCTTTTTCGATGTAATAAACTTTTTCTCCTACTACTAATAATTTTTTGAAAATGATTTTTTGTGTTAAATTTTAGTATTCTTTTATTTTATGGTTACTTTATATTTGTTAATACCGTGTCCTCATTATTTCCATTGTTAAGGACTGCTATTGAGCTAAGTGCTCCAAGCCTCCAACCTCTTTGGTTGTTTATGCCTGCAAAAAAAGAAAATTTTTCCTTCTGCTTTATGCTAATTTCCTTAAGGGTACTACTAAACCTACCGAAAAAATAATAAAAATTTTAGTCATGTTGAAAACAACAATTAGTGGACTAACCCTTTTTCAGTTTTATTTTCCCAGGCCCTACTAGACTACACGTGGCGTTTTGTTGCTGACTTTGTTTATCATGTTACTATCATTTCACTATCATTTTACTAAAAAATATAATAATAAAAAACAAATATTCATTGATTTAATTTAATTACCAGATTAAAACTAGATTGATGTTTGATTCAAATCATATTTGGACAAATTTAATTCAAACTATCGGGTCGGGCTTTTTTAAAAAAAATTGGGTTTAGATCGTGTCAGATTTTTTTAAGGACAAAGTTTAGGTTTGGTTGGACCACCCTATCTGACCCATGTCCATCCCTACCGCTGATATCAACCACTCGACAAATCGTAGCCGACAAAGAAGTCTGCTTACGACCTACCAAGGGAGTTGTGGGCAATTACGTAAATAATTTGCAATATAAATATAAAACTATTCAAACATCGAAACTTTTAAAATAATTTGATATTTATCAATGAATGTTTTAATATTTATTTTTTTATACATGTATGTATAATTATATAATAGCGTAAATATTACACGTATAATTTATTATTTACTTAATAAGAACATTTTAGTTAATAATATATTTTAATATGTCGCTTTAATAATATATAGTGGTATACAACATACGTTGTAGACTTATCCTAATTTAAATTATCAATGTTATAAATAATATTGATTTCTTTAATTGGAATTAAAGATTGAAATCCGATATAATGAATAAAAAATAGAGCTAAAAATTATCTGTAATAATGTTTTATAATATTTAATTTATGAAAATATATATTGTGCAAGATCCGGTTGGAATGAATGGGAGGCGGTTGGGTACGTTGAGTTCAGCGCACGTGAAACATAGAAAAAGGTGAGTTGCTGTCCAAATGCTGACAAAGCATTTCTTTTTTATTATTTTATTAAAAGAATTGGTATGTTTAGTAAAACACTTGGTACATTTAGATTATCCCTTTCCTTAAATCCTATAATCCTTTGTTGATAATTCGTCCATCTCTGGTCCAATGCGAAATCAATGGGGGGAATATTCAAGCTGTGTTTGGTTCTTTCGAGCCTTTACAGAAAGGTTTTTGATCCCATTCTTTTCTTTTTTATTTCTCCTGGTTTGTTTATTTTAACTTTACATTAACATATCAATTTCTAAATGATTAAAAATCCCTTTAGTATATTTGTCTTTTAACACGTAAAGATTAAGCCTAATAATGTCCATTTTCGAAAGTATTAAATTAAAATATATATATATTATTTTTTTTTTCTCAATTTCTGATTAAACTTTAAGACGTTGACAGGTGAATAATTAGGGTACCATAAGTTTAATTACAAACACTAAGCCGACTTAAAAAAGGGAGCAAAATAAAAAAGAAAGAAAAACCCTTTGTTCTTTATTTTATATGCATGTTTATATGTAGGGATGAGTATCAGGGCCTGGGATCCATATATGATCGGTTTTAATCCGATTTTATAGTCATTTAAGAAAAAAATCAGATCGGATTTATTTTAAGTTTAACATAAAAAATGATAAACTCGGACATTATAGTATAGTTATCACTTATATGTTTAGGGATGATTATAATGATACTTGTCTATCTATATTTTTCAATTATGTCTCAATTTTAGTTAATAAAAATGAGAACTATATATTTGTAGAGTGAATGTGAATGATTTTATTTTAAAATCAGGACGAATTTAGGATTTAATATAACCTCCTTAAACCTGAATAGAGACGAATTATGGATGGAGGAATATAATACTTAGGTCATATTCGAGTCGGTAAAAAATACGACTCAATCTAACCCGATCTATACTTATCCATATTTATATGTCGTCACAATGAGGTAAGTTGGGCCAAAAAATTATAAAGAAAAGTAAATAAAGGAATCAATTAATAGCTACCTCCTTCCTTTTGTATTTTATCCTAAACTTTTGACGTGGGATTAATCATAGTTTTACACATTAATTAATTTTTATTTTGCTTATAGCAAAAGGGAAGAATTCGATCATGACCAAGATGAATTTTTCATCAATGTTAGGTTTGAATTTTTATTTTTTTTATAAGCAAATCAAAGGTTACACTATCATTGCGCCCATTTTTGTAAGATAGAGGTTAGTGGGAGAGAGAATGACTAATTCATTGCGCCCGTCTAACTCAGTTGGTAGAGCGTAAGGCTCTTAACCTTGTGGTCGTGGGATCGAGTCCCATGGTGGATAATTCATAATTGGAGGTCTCTCACGGAAGCTGCTCTCAACCTGGCGTTGGGGGCAGCCTACTATCTCACTTCCCCTTATCCCATTACATATGGAAATAGGGTCAGCTAAAAAAGAGATTAGTGGGAGAGAGAATGACTAATTCATTTTCCATCTCGAACACTTAATAGATAGATGGTAAGAATCTAAAATGTGTTTTTAGTTGATTGAACATTTAATTATTTTATTATTCAATAATGATTAATTTAAATTTAAATATGGTAAAAATTATTAATTTTAAATATGGTAAAAATTATTATACAGCGATTCTCTTAATTCAATTTATTTCATTTAAAATATCAATATTTAAATTTAGACATTAAAAAAACATAACGTCCTATCCTGTTAGATCAATTAATAATTGATATAATAAAATATTATTTACAAGACCGAATTTAATCATGATTATGATGATGAAGACGACAAATTCAATCAATTGAAACCATAAAGATCATATTTGAATTGGATTAGTAAATTAAATTGATTGAACCAGTTAGATAAAATTAACCATAATGTGAAACATTGTGAATGATTAAAAAATAGAAAATAAATTAATAATTGATCGGTCTAATGAGATGAGACATTAAGTTTATTAAGTAAGGTTAGGAGTTTGAATTCTGACGTTGTGAATGGAAAAAAAATAGATTATGAGGATCACGTCCATGATGGGTCTTCATAGTATTCAATTTAGATTAGTCAATCAATAGATTAGAAATCGATGATCATACAAAAAAATCAGATACTTAAGTAATAAATGACTATATCCTCATTTAGTTTTATTTAATTTCTCTAAAATTTTCAAATAATTATTACTAAATCAATAGTTTGAACCTATTGAGTGATCTTAATGGTAAAAAAAGTGTTATTTTCTTAGAGAATTCATGTTCGAACAGTTGTATCTGTAGAGTGTGTGTATATTTTTAATTATTAAAAAAATTCTAGACAAATACTATATTATAACCACCTTCTTAATATTATTAAAAAAATCCACAGTTAGACTCACCCAACAATAAACTGAAAATCTGACACCAACTTTACTTTTACGACATTGAAATCAACCCCAACCACATGCAAATCCATGTCCTCTTTTCCTTATTCACGAAGATCAATCTGACCAACAACCGCATCATAAAACCACAGCTGCAATTTCAAAGGACATCGTCAGTTGCATGAGGTGGAGTTCCACGTGATGTTTCTTTTATAGTACTAAATTCTAATAATGGAATTGATGTTAAAGTTGAAGATTTTTATAAAACAATGGCAAAAGCTTGAATTTCACCCACTCTTTCATGTCTAAAAATGAGTCATTGTTTTTTATGCTTTTCTTAAAGATGAACTTTATGGGTTTTAGCGCAATATGAGGAAGATGCTGTTATTGATAAAGTAAGATTCGATCCTTCCTACATGGATTGGTACCATGGAAATGGGAGTTCTTTCTACCTTTAGGGTAGTTTTTCTTCCTCGTGCTCGAGATCTAATGTTACACTAACTACTAGGTTCAATTTTTTGCCTCGGTGGTAAAACAAAATGTTATTCTTCTAGAGGTTTTGAATTCGAACAGTTGCGTCCTAGATTCGATTCTTTTGTTTATAATTATTTCAATGTTTCAAAGTTAAATCATTCTTTTATTTAAACTCAATATTAATTATCGTTTATGCAACTTTATATTATTATATAATACAGGTCTATATTTATATGAAAGTTAACAATTTTATAACGATTTTATTAATGAGTGACATAGTTAGCATATATTGATAATTTAGGATGTGATTAGAACATTTAAAAGTTTAAGAATCAATTTAAAATGATTTTAGTTTGACGATGAAATTGAAGGTATGCCTTGCAATTCTCTTTTAATTTCTTTTTTTTGTTGTTGCATACATTAGGTTGAATTGGAAATAATGACTTTATGTATTTCTGGCCATCTATAGCATTTATCAATTTTTAGTACCCAAATAAAAATATAATTTTAAGGCTTGAACATATAATTTTTGGCAGTTTGAACCTGGTTCAAATGTTAGCTGGAGCACGAAATGAATTCTAAAAATGAGGGCTGATGCAGTGCCATTTATTTCTAACTCTTTTCTGATTAAGGATATTTGGAAGGAAATTAGACCTAAAGGACAGAAAGCTCCATGGCATAAGCTCATTTGATTTCCCATGCATATACCGAAACATTCCTTAATTGTGTGGATGGCTTTACAAGACAGATTACCAACTAGAGACCGCCTGCAACGAATGGGTATTAGCACTTATTTAACTTGCATAATCTATAACAGTTTTCAAGAGACAAGAAATAACATTTTTTCTGAGTGTTCTCTAGCAGCCAGTTTATGGAATTCTATTTTGAACTTGAATGGAATGAATCCTACGAACTTGGATTGGGAGGAAACGGTTGCTACAACAATCAATTCATAGAAAGGGAAGTCTCTTCTCACCTTCATTTTGAAAATTGCTTGGTCTGCTTTCATTTACACAGTTTGGCATGAAAGGAATCACCGTATCTTCCGGGATCGGTCAAGACCTGTTGAAAATCTGCTTAATGAAATCATTGATGTTGTTCGGTGTAGTCTTAGGGGGAAAAACTTCAATAGACTTGATAGTACTAATCTTAACCTATGTAATGCTTGGGGCTTATAGTTCTACCAATCATTGATTTTGTTTAGTTGTACATAGTTTCTTTTTGTTTTGATTGGTTGATTGATTGTAGCAAAACTTTGCTATTTTGGATAATAAAAATTCTTACTTATCCAAAAAAACATATATTTTCTCTCTGATAATAATTATTCAAATTATATTTCGTTAATGTATATAATATTTGTTTTGAACAGTTTTTACTTAGGGGAAGGAAAAGATAAAGTTTACTCCTAATGGATATTGGAGTTACAATTCAAGGGAGAAGAGAGATATCAATTGAGAACTTTTAATTATCTATTTTAGAGATTGTTGACAATGTATCTAATATTTTTAATCTGAATATGTATTGATTTTTAGTTCAATCATGTGTTGTAGTATTAATTATAATAACAATTATTCGAAATGTTTTATAATCATACCACTTTAGAAACAATTAGTATATGATCATCGTTATAGTTCAAAAAATTATTTAAAATCAACAATCAGATGGTCTAATGGGATAAGACACTAAATTCTTTACAGTACCTGACCCAAATTAATCGATTAATAAATCAGATATGTCGATGGTTACACCAAAAAAATTATTTAAAAATTTTAAGGATAATAAACACAAATGAATCCCCAACTGTTTGAACGTTTATAATTTTCTTTATAAATATTCTTGTAATTGGATCATTTGAATTTTAGGGTAAAATAAATTTAATAATCGCGGTTAGACAAAGTTCTCAATTTCAATTACCACCATTAAATATAATTATAAAAATAATTTAGCAGTTTTTGGTTAAAAAAAATATCTTATCAATTTATGTATAATAAAATGGGCCGAATATGAAAATCTATGAAACTAGATTACCATCAGGCCGGACTCATAAAGTTCTGAAAGCGACACCAAATGTGTCCACTATATAAACTAACAAATTCAAAATCCACAGTTGAGAAGATAGAACACTACAACTTTCGTTGGAGGCGATGGCGCTTTCCTCTGCATTTCGAGAAAGACTTGAACAAATGGAACATTCTAGAAATGAACGTCTAATTCTCCTCCAGGTCAAATCTAAACTTCATTTTTTTCTGTTTGGTTCCCGGTAAAATAAAGGGTAGAGAGTCGTAATTGTTGTCTCCTTCTCATGTTCGTTCATAGGCAGAGAAAGAGCTTCAAGCAAACAAATACCAGGTTTTGGATTCGAAGCTGGCTCGTATTCGTTCCATGGAAAGAAGTTGCTTGTTGCTTGATCAAAAAATTGCATCGCAAAACTTTAGGATCTTTGCTCTCAGAGCTGAAATCGAAAATCTCGACGCCAAATATGATTCTAGTTCTCGACAATTGAAGTAGGATTTTCATTTGCTTTTAGTAATTTAGATTTAGAGTTTTAATTCTGAACTGAGATGCATTCCGTTGAATATTTAGGGATCTGAAAAGTGAGATTGAGGAGCTTGAAGAGGTGGAGAAGGAGAGAGATAAGTTTTACGAATTGAAAATTTCAGAAATCAATGAGTTTAGACAAAATGTGGAGAGGTATTCCATGGAAACTCGAAATCGAGTGCAAGAATTGAGGAATTGTGTAAAAGAGGTCAATCGAAAAGTTTGAATTTGAGAATTTCAAATTAAGAAGTTTGTCTAAGATATAATCTCATTTTTAATTGGTTACGTTGTGCAGTGCATCTATTAGATGAAAATGGTTTCATGGAATGTGTCAAATTTAACTGATGTTTCTTGCAGCTGATGTCAACTTTTATGGAACTTCAAGGGCACAATGGTTATATGAGTGATGCAGAGATAGCTGAGGCAGAGATGAAAAGAGCTGAACTGTTGGCTTTGAAAGAGAGCTTAACGAGAACTTTAGCTTCAAATCGGCAAAGAAAAACAGAGTTGCAAAAGCAGGTTGAGAATATGTTGGTTGCCCAAAGTCAAGAGAGATGCAAACCATTTCAGTTTGGCAAAAGCAATGGTGTTCGATGGTAAGATAGCAGGTCCATGAGGTGAAACAATGTTGCCGGATGTAATCGTTACCATGATTGATCAGTTTTGTTGCTTCTCATGCAATAGGATTGAGTTCATTGTTTTTTGTAGCAATGAACAGTAATTTGGAACTTAAACAATCTATCTTGTGGACGTTCATTTCTATGCAGAATTTTACACCTTGAATATGATACTTCTTTTTCAGAATTTGCCGACTTGGTTTACGTGTCTACTAGTATGATTGTTTGATTCAACATAATTTTTTAGGTTTCCTTTTTATGCCCATTCTGTTTACAAGCCTGAGGTACTGAGATTTTACAAGTTTATTCGAGAAACATATATACAACACCAATAGAGCTGAAAAGTTCACTAATTTATTAGGAAACAGTATCAATTTAAGAAACAGTCAGCACTACTGAGAATTACTAGATCCTCTGAGAACCTTAAACACTAATGAGCATGGATGAACCGGGCTGGTACTTGGGCGGTAACATACCCTATAAATTCCAAATTCCTATATAATTTAGGTATGTCCTTCGTATTTTCTTTTGATGATTTAATTTTACACCCTTAAAATTTTGTAATTCAGCATCCCTAACTTTTTAATATTATTTTTAATAGTCAACACCCATAACATAAAATCATATGTTTGTCCCTGCTTATGTAGGCGATAGCACATGCCTGCGATATTCTCCTAGAGCCCATAATGGGAATATATTTCTGTATGTAGCATAATGTATCATACAAGTCCTCAAGCAAACCCCAGAAAGTTCCTGTGAAAATCAATATTGTAGTTTAGAGAAAAACACCATTAACGAGAGTTCCATTTAGATATGGATCATTTAGGCCTATCTACGAAAAGTTGAACTATAAAAAGCTGTAAACTTATAAAAAAGGATGCATTACTTTGCTAGGAAGGATCTCCTTAAGTCTGACATACCTGTTGAGGAAATTCACCGCTTTTCATTTGTGAGTTGATCAATAGTCTTGCTGCTTTATGCAGAGGTTGTGGATCAACCTCAACCTAATTAGAAATAAACATAGAGAGCATGAATTGAGGTTTGTGTTAAATTTGTGATGTTATTAAAAAGGGTTGATGTCATATTTATAACCATAATATCAGCATAATTTGTTTTCTATGATATGACCCAACCTGTCCTGCATGAATCAGACCCATCATTGCCCATGAAGTTTGCACTAGATGTGAGCAGTTTTCATCAGCTAGATCTCTATATTCCTGTTCATATTGTGAGAAAATTTTTAGAAATACTGTATCGGTTTTGCTTTCAAAAGAACCACAGTAACAACGATTACAGCAATACATGTTTTTTCGCTTGACTTCACATAATTCATGCTCCCTAGATCAGAGATAGATTTAAGTATGCAACATAGGATAGGTGATAGTTACCAAATTGGGGCATGTTAAGTAGCTTTCTCCCCATCCACCAGAATCTTGCTGTTTTGAAAGCAAAAATTGACAAGCTTTACGGACAATTTGGCTGTTGCGACAAGTCTTACCGAAGGCCGCTAGCCCTGCTAAAGCAAAACATGTGCCATATGTATAGCAAATCCCCCAGTTGCCATACCTGCATACATAGTAGCTATAATCTTAGCTTGAACATCAATTTTAACTTTCTTTTCCTATTATCCATTCATGATCTGCAAGAAAGGAACTGAAAATCACCAAGAACCGTCTTCCATTTGAGAACCTTCAACATATTGTACTGCCTTAGCCACGGAAGTTTCGATTTCTTTCTTTCTGTATTGAGGATATAACTGAGAGAACAACACAAGAGCTTGGATGGCTGATGAAGTACATTCAACATACCTAAGATCACCATATGGTTAATATTATAGAAAATTTCTGATATGATACATAAATGATAACATAAAAATGCAATTATTGACGATACATACTCACGCTCAATTGCTGCTGCAGCAAAGAGTTCTGTTGGATTTATCCTCTGTAAAATGAAAAGAATCCCACAATTTATGAAAATAAAAAAGGGATGACTCCGCTTTAGTATTTGTTACTCGGATTTTAGGTATGAGTGTCAAATACAAGTATGTTCAATTCTTGTAAAGTGTTTCAATGTATTTGGAGGGTCTATGGAGAATATAATATGTGTTGAACACAGATGCCGGACAAGGATACTTGAAAAAAATGAAGAGTCGGAGCAACATAACTTAGGATAACAGAAATAAGCAGCAGAGTATGACTTGAGCAAGAACTGGAACAAGAATACATGTATTGGTAAGTTTTACCTGCAGCCATTGAGGTCCTCTTACCGGCTCCCAAGCAGTAAAACCACCATTTTCGCTCTGATGAAAAGAAAAGAAAATGGAAAATCAAAGCCAAGGGTACATAAATATGCAGAAAGAAAATCTTTATTGGAAGCAAATGAAGATAAAAGATGTTCTTAATACCTGTAATGACAAGAGGACATTTACTGCGTCATATAATCGCTCTACTTCAATCGTTTCACCTACAATTTCTGGTGGCATCCGAGACATTAAGAGTATTGTCTGCAAAGAAAAGAGCCATTTAGCACATGTGAAATTTATTTAATGGTGAAGAACCATTCTCGGATTCGGGTGTGTCAAACACAGGTATATGTCCTACATTGTTATGTTCAAGACTTTATTCAAGATTTCATGCATTTTGAATCTTTGGAGGATTATGTCTGTCAAGACCCGTTGATTGATAATGTACTCTCATTTCCCTGGGCCACAGTGCAGTGGCATCATGCCCATAAGCCAGTATTATCCTCTTTGGATCCCCGTTTAGACCAATTGGTTCTACAGTTGCAAAATGGACCCTAAATGGTACCACGGTAACATCAGCACAACACAGCCCAGGGAAGTGAGAGTACCTTGCCAGTTCAACAGGCCATAATAATACCCACATTTTCATACAAGGATATGTATCGGATATTATCGGACACAGCCACACGAGTTTATCAGATCATAATCGAGGAGCTAATTTACCTTGAGAGCTTCAGCAATGCCATCTGAGGTTTGCCACCCATCATCTGGAATGGAGAATGGCCAAGCTCCCTTACTCATATGTCGATGCATATTTTCGAAATCTCCTGATGGATTTTCTAGAATCTTTTTCATGCAAAAAAAAAAACACAAAGTGAGATGATTGGTACAAATAGATTCAACCCAGACTAGTTCATTAAGAAATAAAACAAATGCAGGATCAAATAGGATGAAACCTGTGACATTTTTATGAACTCATGTGCTTTTCTTAGAGTTGAACCATATTCATCTGTTAGATTACTTGAGATAATCGCTTGAGTAGCTAAAATAGCATCCCACAACTGGCTGCCACCGTTTAACTTCTCGAATGCAAGGATTTAGCAAATTTAATCAGGATGTGCAATGGTAAGAAGAAAAATATTATCAAATTTTATGACCAAACCTGCATTTTCATTCCATCTTCAGCTAACCATAAGAAATCTGGAACTCTTGCCAGGTGAAATTGTAGTAAATTTGTGGTTGGATTTGGATCCTCTGCCCAGCAGGCCATCATATGCAACACCTACATTTTGTAGCATTTTGGTATATCAATATTTGGAACAAGTGATCAACAAGCTGATCCCATGACCTGAACCGAAATGATCGATATATATATTATGGGGTACGGTACTTAATCCGATTAATCTTAATTTAAACTTGATTCAACTCAATTTGATCATAAGAAGTCAACAGCTTGAATCCAAAATAAACCAATCCTATATGACCCGAACCGAAATGATCAAGATGACCTACATCCATAATGACCTGAACAAGGAGCTTGAAATGACCTGAGCCAAGTGTCAAACCCAAATGACACAAAACCGAAATCATCAAACTCAAAATGATCTTACCTGAAAAACCCAATCCAAAATGGCCTAAACCTATAACCGATCCGAACATGAAACGACCCATACGTGAAATTATTTGAAATTTTCAAAATTTAAAATGACGTGATACAAAATAAAACCATACGAAAAAATCAAAATGACCGTAACAAATGTATAGGGATACCTTTTGTGTACTTCCTTGGGTTATATATCGAGTATTCTCATCCTCGTAGTGGACCACCTTCATTGCTATCTGTAGAGCTTTCTCTCTTAACTTGTTGAAGGGCCAACAATTTAGAATCGGCTCAGCAATGTAATAAAGAGTATCCCAGAGCAGAATTTGCACCGTGGGATATGGCAAATACATGTCTTCCTGCACATATAATTTTGAAAGAAAAACTGATAAGCCAGGTAGGCATTTTGGAAAGTTTCAAAACATTGAATATTACAAATAAATGACTAACCTTTGAACACAAGTGGCGAGCTTTATTCCAATCTATCTTACCATATGGTTGAGTGTAAATTTCATCCCTCAATGATACAATTAGCTTGTTGAGTGGACCCACGAATTTCTTGCCATACAAGTAAGATAAAGGTGCAAAAAAATTGCGCATGAAAGACCATAGCCTCGCTGAATGCATATCAATGGGAAGATATATAATCAATTGTCAGCTTATGAGAATATATATATATAGGGGTAGGATCCACTTACACTACATGAAACTCATTTGTTTTGGATAAAAATATAATCATTTAATGAATTTAAATGGATAGCTGAGGTTAAAATTTTATTATTCCATCGTTACATCTAAATTGAAAAAAGAGAAATATAATGTTAATGTACAAGATTTTTAAATCCCAGGCATCTATTTAGAGTTATATATATAATGCTAATGCACAAGATTTTAATCTCAACCATCTATTTAGAGTCATCCAATGATTACATTTTTGAGTAAAACTAATGAATTTTATAATGTTATATATATAAAGTGTAGCTTTGCGTTCTACTGTAAAAGAAATTCAAGATTTACCTGGTCCCAAAGGAAGATATGATGGGAGAAGCCATAGCTCTGGGGGCATTGGATTGCACCCTGACCATTCATATACTCCTAGCACCTTTATTTATTACATCAAAATTTTCATTAATCAATATATATAGTCCTCAAATTACGGTTAGATTGATATTTAAATTTCAAACGTTCTAAATGAGTCTTTAAAGTATCAATATCGTATGAATATAAAAAGAAAAAGTATCCATATTTTATCAATCAATCCTAACATTAGCCTAGTCATTAGCTTGAATGCTAAAAATCAAATATGACACGATGTATTGTTTAGGTCAAGAGCATGATTTGACTTTATAGACTTAACAGTTAAAAGTTTAGGTTAGGACCAAAATCTCAAAATTTGAAAAATACATGAACTAAAAGACCAGATTAGCATACAAGGATAAGTTCCATATATTATGCATAGTATAGAGACTAATTGAAAAGTTTGATCTAAAAAATTTCATACAGAAAGATAAGCTTTGCCCCAAGAAGGTATCATCGTTGCGCCTCCGTGTTCGAGGATCCAATTCCTCGCCTTCTCGACAGCTCCGTCTGGGCCACCTTCTGTTCCTTCTCCGAGCAAACGGAGGGCAATGTAATTCAGCGTCGTGTTCATCATGGTGCTATGTCCTTCTATATGGAGACCCCATCCTCCATCTATGTTCTGTCCAGGGGACAAAAGAAACACATAGTATACTAATAAACAAATGAGGATTTCCGTGCACTGAATGTTTCGAATTGTTGAGAGAATTCAATACTTGATGATTGTAAATATAACGAAGAATCTCCCTTTTGTGTTCTAAAGATAGAACGGTATCAGTTGTTCCAGTAATGTACAACACCATAACCTGAAAGTCGAAAAAGCCAGCATTCACGTATGAGAGGTTTAATTATGCTTTTAGTCTCTGTACTCTTCACACATTTAAAATTTATTCCTTTTACTTATAATTTCAGTAATTTAATCCCTCTATTTTCTGTTTAATTACTGAAATCCAATTGATAATCTATTAAATTGGATTATGTAACATTTTTCTTTTTAAAAAATTGTTTGAACGGTCAATTTAATGTTGCGTGGAAGGCATATAAATAATAATAATAATAATAATAATAATAATAATAATAATAATCAAATTTCTATATGTTTCTCTGAGACAATGCTGAAGTGGTCACTAAACTATGCTAAAATGAACTTTTTGATTATTGAAGTTTCGAAAGTTATCAAACTATTACAAAATAGACATTTTTTTGGATAATTACAAAATAGACATTTCATGGTATAAAAAAATGATAAACTTTGATAAGTTAAAGATCATTTTGTAACAGTTTGTAAGTCTGACGACTATATTGTAATATTTTGACAAATTTAATGATCATTTTGTAACTATTTGGGAAGTTTAATAACCATTTTGTAATTTCAGAAACTTCAGTGATCAAAAAATCATTTCAATATAGTTTAGTGACCATTTGTGTACTTTATCATTAAAAATAAAAGGACTAAATTATATACATGCAAAAGAGTACAGGGACTAAAAGTAAAATTAGACATAGATGGAAAGAACCCAGAATTGGCCATTTTTCGAAGGGAACAGAAAAATAAAAATCATACCAGAGGAGGTAAGCAAAACAAAGGGCCTGAATTTTCCGAGGGCCAATGTCCATCACAAGCTTGTGTAGCTGAAAGGAACCGAACAGCTTTCTTCAAAGCAATCTCGATTTTTTCATCGGTTACCTCTTCGTCTTCCTTCAATCTCACTGGTTCAATGCTTAGATCTACATTGTTTTCTTCAATCAGCTGTATTTCAATTCAACAGCGTAAAAGAAATCTATAAACTCGTCAACTAAACTAAACTGAAAGACTGGAAAAAAGAAGAACAAGAACAAGAAGAGAGAAACTTGCCTGAAAATTCTTGAGCGCGTCGCTGCTGGGTTTAACACGATGCCGATGTACGGAGAAATTTTGCCGGAGCTTTTCGATTCCGGCTTGTTTTTCATCTGATTTCGGCGAAGATTGGTTGTCGAATCTCCAAATCTGTCTGCCGTTGAAATTGTTGGTGCTAAACAGCCATGGACCATTGCCTTCTGCTATCTCCAGCTTCCACATATTGGCTTCCTGCTTTTTCCACTTCTATCAATCACGGAAGTGTTCATTGAATTTCCTTCGGTCACTATATTATTCCCTGTATCAACTTCTGGATAAAAAAATAAAGGGTAAATTATACAGATTGTCACTTATATTTTCAGTTGACTGATTCTGGTCACCGATTAAAAAAAGTGATTTTGATCCTTACATTATTGATTCATTCGGTTTTAACTGAATTGTTAACTTTATTAACGCTTAACTAAAATGTTACGTGACAATCAAATAATAATAATAATAATAACACGCATCTTCCTCTGCTTCATATCTTCTTCTTCTTCCATGACGAGAGAGAATAGTGCGCACAAAACGAACTAATAAGCCCAAAGTATTTTGAATTACAATTTTGGAATCAATTTACAAAATGCTTAATTATCTCTCTATTATGAACAAAAATTCCTTTGTAATGTGTCTTTCAGATAGTTTTGCAACGCATGAATAAATTACCAGACGTTAATTCAGCTAAACTCAGAAAATGAAAACTCAAGGCGCCATTCGATCCTCGAATGGTGGTTGGATGTTTGAATTTTCTAAAGTGATCGGAGTTTGTTCCATAGTTGAAGCGGGGTTATGGGGTATCCATGAAGGTCTCTCTCATGCTTAGAACCTAGGAGAAAGGCAAATCATAGTGGAAGCAGATAATTTGAAGGTTGTCCGAATACTAAAGGTAAACTCTAAGAGAGGCTCGATTTTTACACTTCTTAACCGCGTTTTGAGTTGATTAACCGAGATTGGAATATTATTTTGAGGCATATAAGCCGGACTACAAATAAGGTGACAGATCGACTAGCTAAGATTGCCATAACAAGCGGAGAGGTTCATAAAGTATTCTTCGTTCCACTGTGGGAAGTGATTGAATTAATTCAACAGGAAACTGTCGACTGTATTTTAACAACAGAAGCTTAATCTAATGCAATTTATTTCTTTTGTTCACAAAAAAAAAAAAATGAAAACTCAAAAGCTGACTTGAAACGGCTATAATTAGCAAATCAAATTCCACAACTCCTTACTTTTCCTATGTGGTTGTTTAATTTATTTCAACCACCGATTTTTTGGAACATAGTCGAAACGGACGAATAGTGTTTACAGGTGATTCGATGGGAAGAAACCAATGGGAATCCCTGCTTTGCGTATTATCTCAAGTAGTTTCAAACAAAACGGAAACCTCATAACTAAACTCGAAGGCTTTCTTTCAATCGAGTTCCAAAACTATAACCTCTCCGTCGAATCCTTTTTTTATTGTTATTATTAATTTAGGTTGCTTACAATTAGTAATACATGTTTTAAATATTCTCAAACATTTATTAATAAATGCTTAAATATATTGTACAGTCTCTAGTGCTCGAAATGTTACCTCTATGAATAATAATCATTCTTTCAACCACTGAAGTGATTTGATTTGTGCCCATCAAACACTATAGAACACCTTTTATAGCGTTCATCGCTCGCCATCCGATAACAAATGTTGAATGGCAGCTTTAATGGAAGAAGAAGAAGAAAGATTACACGCAAACACGTGGAATTTTTTTTTATCTTTTTATTTGTCACGTAGTATTTCCGTTAAGGGGTTAACGAGAATTAACAATTGAGAAACTAAAATCGAATAGATCAATAACATAAAGGACCAAAACCTTTATAATTTTGAACTAGAAACTATAATCAATCAGATCAAAAATATAAGGATTGTCCGTATAATTTATCCAAAAGAAAAGAAAAATCTAGTTCCAACAGTACATAGCTATGAATTTAGATCTTGAAGGACGCATTTACTGTATTTGATTTAAGTTGTCAAGATTCAACCATATATTTTTAATATGAGAGATGCGCTTTGCAATTTGCATCTCCAGATTCACGCGCCTCATTCATCTTTTGAATTGGAATTTATTAAAAAAAAAATCCTCAATAATCGAGCATGTACGTAGGCTTAATTTAGAGGCATTTTTACAATAATATCACCCTTTACAAAAATTAAATATTAAAATAACATTTGTAATAATTATTTATTTAAATCATATCTTTTGGTTAGACGTATTTTTATGTATGTATCGTTTACTCTCATGGAATAATTAAACATCCTTTAACGTATATGACACTATATTGAAAAAGACTATTAACGAAATGCATTTTTCATAAATTTACATAGTCAGTTATTAAAATGGAAAACAAAAAAGAAAGGAATTATGTAAAATAATATGTGTTAAAATAAAATGAATTAATGTGTATGATAATAACAACATGTATTAAAAATTTTGTTTTCAAACATTTAATAAAAGTATTTAAAAATCTATATGATGATGGTAATATAGGTATGCCACAAATTAATTAGAATTGAAGGATAACCTTTAATGAAAGCGAGGCTGCAGGTAATGGCAGACTAGTTTATTTGTAGGGTGTGTACGTGTTTATCTAAAAATTTATTTTTTATTAATTATTTATTTTATTAATTGTATATATCTTATATAATTTTTTATAATATTTTTAATTACTTTCCGATTTTTTAGGGTTTTTTTTGACTAAAATGAATCGACTCGTGTTGTACACATAGCTTTGGTGAGTGGGTCTCTCAAATATACACAAAGCTTTAGACTTGAGACCTGTTTAAACAATATCAAATTGCTTACCACCTAAATCAATCCCATTGATAAATTTTTAATATTATTAATATATTGTTCGTTCTAATTTTTTTTTTTTTGAAATTTCACTTTATATGGAAGGTGGTGGTTTAAATGGTTTCATTTATTATGGTTTTTATTTAAAAAATATAAATAAATTTATAATTCATAATATTTAAAGGGATTCGTGAATTCCAGTAAATATATAATTTAACTCTTTTAGTTCTTTCTCAAACTTCAATCAAAATTTTTATTTGTCAAATGAAACTTAAATTAAATAAATTAATGTATAAATACACCAAAAAAATCAAACCACTTCTTATAAAATAATAGTTTTATATATTATATGAGATTGATAGAAGAAGTATTGAGATAGTTATACATAGGGATGGGCATGGGCCCGAACTCGACAGGTTTCGACCCGATCGAGTCAGGTTTTTTTTAAATTTAGGTTCGGGTTTAGGGTGAAAAATATTTGACTTGACTCGACTGGGAAAAAATATAATTTTACCTTATATATTTAGAAATAATTGTAATAATACCCCTCTATATATTATTTTTTCAATTAAGTCATTGTTTTATTGAATAAAAATAATATTTTTATTTCGGGTCGGATTTTTAAGTTATATATCGGGTCGGGTGAAATCTTGTTTCATACGGGTCGGATCTCGGGTGGAAGACTTATTGTTCTTGAGTCGGATGGACCAAAAACTCGACTTATGCCCATCCCTAATTGTATCTCTAATTTTTTTTAAATTTCCATAGTTTTTAATCATTTTCTGTTAATGGTCAAATTCTATATTCCTAAAAATTTATAATTATATAATCTTAAAATTTTCATATCTATTTTTAGAATTTTTGTACTCTTAATATAAAGTACTTTGTTAGTCCCTAATTACACAATCGTGCACTTAATAAAAGACAAAAAAATATGAGAGTTGGTTGAATTTATTGAGTGGCATTCATTGTTAAAAAGAGTATTGTTATCCATTGTGATTCTGAATTCGAACAGTCGTGTATACATATATATATTATAATTAATAAAAATATTATGAAAAAATATTACATTATAATTACACTAGTTTATTTAAAAAATAACGAGAGCTGGTTCATTTTCAAATTGTTGGCATAAAAGTTGTTTTTGAAAACCCTAATTTCACAATCTTTTGGACCATAAATCACGGGACTGAGCCCAAATTATAAACCTCACCATGGCCTCCAGGGTTCGTTTGGTTCACGGAATGTAAGATTATCAGTGGGAATAAAAGATTACCAGAGAATAGGATTACTGTGAATGTTGTATTTTGTGTTTGGTTGGTTTAGCAGGAATGTAAGATTACCGTATTTAGTTAAAGGATTAAAAGATTATTGGAATGTATATTTGACCAAATTGTCCTTATTATATATTTGTATAATATTACAAATTGTAAAATATTTATATATTTTATTTAAAAAATTAAATTCATAATATTTATATAATTTTTTTACAAAATTTAAAAATAAAAAAGTTTTAATGAAAGGGTAAATTTTTTTAACCACTGAACTTCATATAAAATTTTAATCATAGACTTTTTTTGTAAATCTAAAATAAATTAAGGATAAATTTGTAATTTAACCTTCGTAAAATTTTTATTATTCAATGACAGAAGAAAGATATTTTTGAAAAAAATAAAAATTTAAGGGCATTTTAGTCCAAAACGCTTGTAATGTTACAGTACCTAAAGGAAGGGAGGTAATGACATTCCCGGTAATATACCCCAAAAAATCTACTATTGGTAATAAAACATTATCGGGAATGAGATTCCCGGCTAACCAAACATGGGAATGTGGGATTCCCATCCCATGGGAATCCCACAATCCTTGAACCAAACACCCGCTAGAACTTTCTTCATTTTCCCTAACCCTTGTTATAAACAACCCAATATACATTGGTTGATCTATAGTTTTAGTCCCTTATTCATTCTAATTTAAAATTTAATTCTCAACTATAATTTAATTGTTTTGATTTTATGACGTGACGAGTAAATTCTAATAGATAACATCATCAGTTATTATGGTTAAATATTAGTGTATATTATTTTATGAAAGATTGTAAAATAATTAATTAAGGGATATTTTGTATTGAAATATTGTGAAATAATTAATTACTGACATTGTAAAAATAGAAAAATAAAGTTTCATAATATTAAAGTTAAAAACTAAATCTTAAAGGACATAAACCAAAATTTGACCTATTTTAAAATAAAAAGAGTTAATTGCACCACGCATTCTTAAATTATGATTTTCATTCTAATTGGATCCATAAAATTTTTAATATTATAATTCCATTCCTAAACTATTATTGTTATTCTAAATTGATTCCAAACTTTTTAACATTCTAAATCCATCATCCTCAAACTATGGATCTCATTCTAAATTGGTGCCAATCTTTTGAAGATTCCAATAATTTCACACAAAAAATCATTAAAGTTTGGGGATAAAATTGAAATGTTCATAAGTTTAAAGACTGATATAGAATGACGATTATATTCTAGGGATGAATTTAAAATATTCGAAAATTTAAAGACTAAATTAAAATAAAAAAACAATTTAGAGACCTATAATATAATAACTAACTCTAATAATTGGTGAAAAAACATATTCCTGAAAATCCTAACTTGCAAAGTGGAAGGTTCTAGTATCTTGTAGTATTACATTTCACATAAACATCATCGCAGTCTTGTTTATCCTAAATCCATCCTATAATAAAACCTAAAACCCAAGAACAAGTGAATTTGAGAAAAGATGGCGGAGGAATTGGCGCTGGATTTGGAAGAGCTTAAGCAACTTCAAAGTATCTCAAAGAGGCAACGTATTTTATCTCTTATTACCTCTGAGATTCGCAACCTGGAAAAGGTTTTGCTTCCTGGATGATGAACTTTTGATTCTTTAAATGAAACGGGGGTGTCGTTGTTTGGATTCCATTCTTCATATCGGAGCTGATTTAGAAACTCTGATTAACATTTGTTTTACTATCGTTTCTGGGTTTGCTTTTGCAGTGTATAATATTTCATATTTTCTTACTGTTCCAGCTTTGAAATTCGACAGTGTTTGGTATTTTCCTTAGTTTTAAGCAGATTTTTTAAGGAGTTATTCGGTTGCAGACTTTGAAAGAGAATGAAAATGGAGCTTCTCCTGCTGCTGCTGCTGTTCCGCAAATTCCAACTCCCATTGCAACCTCAGCTAAGGTTCCAGTTAACTCAGCTCTGAGTTATATTACACTCGCCTCGTTCAGCTGGGATCAAGATAATGACAAAGTCAAGGTAAAAAAATTGATGTTCTTAGTGATTTAGGAGCTTTTTATTAGTCATTTCAAGTATGAAATTATCAGAATCCCCAACATTACAACCTGAAAAGAAGAAAAAATCCATTGACTCATTGAACCCAAAATCTTGGTCTAATCATGAATTTCATGTTCTATTTTACTAAAATTGAGAAGTTAATCTCTTTGATTTAATTTGTTGGAATTTGGTTATGAAAACTGAGAACTTAATCTAAAGATTAGTAGTTGAGTAATTTATATGCACGCATTAGTATAAATCAATAGTTGAGTTTATGTGTTTACCAAGAAATGGATGGATGAAAGTAGAGAGACTAACTTATTAATTTTTGGTAAAGTAGTGAGATGAAATTTATAACTCAACCTCAAAATCTGTAAATTCGGGTTATCGATATAATTTGGCATCATAAATTATGTTCTCTAGGTCAGGGTTAGCAATGAGGGATGTGATACATCCTAACCGACACCAATTATTATCTCAAATCGAATTTGAACTTTAAAACTGAAACTAGATAGAGCTGCAAGTCTTGAATTTTGACTCAAGCTTCGCCTGATAGCACCCCTAGTTTGTAACTTCCTAGATTTGTCTTCAAATATGTGAGCTGTACCTTTTGTTTTGCATTATCGAAACTCTTTTTGGTTGATGGTGTGTTTATCCGACAGATATATGTGTCTTTGGAAGGAGTCGAACAGGAGAAAATCCTGGCAGATTTCAAGCCGATGTCATTCAATGCTAAATTCCATGACATTCAAGGCAAAAACTATAGATGTGCTATTCCAAAACTGAACAAGGAAATCGAACCAGAGAAGTGCAAGGTGATAGTTAAGCCTACAAGAGTCATCATCACGTTGTTCAAAGCTTCTAAAGGCTACTGGTCCGATCTGCACCACAAGGAGGACAAGGTAATTGCCTAGATTACCATAAGTAAGCTTACCTTTCATGTTTTTCCCCCCATTAAACCACACTAATAATATCTTTTTCTTATCATGCAGCTGAAGCCGAATTTGGATAAAGAGCGAGATCCGATGGCCGGAATCATGGACTTAATGAAGGTAAAGTTTATTCCATGGATTGTTCGTGGCATGTTTTTTGCAACGGCTAAATTACTGCTGGTTTCTGTAATTTGCAGAATATGTATGAAGAAGGGGATGAAGAAATGAAAAGAACAATTGCCAAAGCATGGACTGATGCAAGATCTGGCAAAACAGCTGATTCTTTGAAAGGTTATCGTTGAATGAACAAAAACATAGAATTTTGTTTTTTCTAATTCAGAACTATATGCGTAATGCATTTCGGTAATGTAGTTCGATGTTCTCTATGTTTACTTCAAGCTACTTTTCCTTGACATATTTGTGAAGGAGTAATCATAATTATTACAAATATTCTAGTTTCCACAAATAAAACTCACTCTAACTAGGCATTAAAAAGAACCTATGAAACCTGATGATTAGAAAATCTGGAAATTTACAACTAAGAGCAATCTCTACGGTGGCTAGGGTGCAGTGTGCCACCATCATTCTAGTATTTGACTGCTGTAGTAGGCATTGAACTTCTCATAGCAATGAGTATGTAAATAAGCCAATGGCCTCGTGTTCTTCAAAGCAGTTTCTATATCGTTAGGTGTAATTGGCCCAACCTTTGGAGCTCTGCAAATTAAAAACTAGCTTTTAAGTCCGTTATTAATTAGATATATCAACTTTTACTAGAAGTTGCAGACAAAACGCAGGCACAAGACCTGTTTTGTTTCTTTGATTTATCTTGTTATATAAGGAATACATACCATGCACGGGCACTTCTTCCAGGCTATTCTCAAGGACTCTCATTAAACGTCTCAGAGGTAGCATGGCTGCATCTTTGCAGACTAATCGAACATCTGAATCGAATAACTGTATGATCTTTCCACCAATGTATCAAAAGGAAGTCTCATCTGGTTTTCCAGGCAGAAGTTGTTCTAACATTGCTCTTCCGCTTAAGTTTCTGGGAGGGATTTGCGTAGAAGATGGTATCAACTGCGAGAGTAACACTAACATGTACTTAGGCTAAACAGTTTAGGGATAGATTCATAACTATAAAATGATTTACACCACAATGTGATCATGTTGGTTCGTATGAGCATTTTTGTGTCAAAGGATACTGGCCTCTCGCCAAAGGCAAGTTTGTTGCTGCCAAGACAAACACGAGCTCATCTGACCTCGTCAAACCACCAATGTGTGTTTTAATACTACGGATCAATTTTTAGAGAAAGAATGGTTGAAATAGAACATGCTCGTAGCTTAGCTTATCTCGATGGTTTAGTAAAGTGACCAGTGACAATGTTCGTAAGGTCATTATTTTGTTCCGGTTATTATCCTCTTTCCCAAAAAAAAAAAGTTTGATTAGCTGTATAATGCTACTGCTTATAAATTTCAGGTTTTTCTCTTTTCAGTATAAAATTAATATCTCCATCTTTTTAAGGTGTACCATTCACTCTCATCCAATCTTGTGATGTCATACTCATGGTTGTCCATCCTACCTATCTCACCTGATATGAAATCGGATAATTAAAAGTTTACTTAGATTTTTTAAATTAGATGTTGAATGGTTTTTTGTAGCCAATGGCCAAGACATTGTTAATTACTTTGAACCATTTGCTTTCTTGGGGTTTCGGTTGAAATCGGATATCATTCAAGTTCACAATATTTAATGTGGGGATGGGTTTTTTGTTTATTTTTTATTTGGATAACTCAAATGATTAGTATAAGATGATTTTATTGTTCAATGCATGGGATTTTTTTGATGGATTGCGTTTTATATAATTGATGAGATTTTATATTTATAAACAATATATATTAAACACTTTAAAAAAGAACAAAATATCTGAAATGGAGCATCAAAACTTGTGATATCGAAATGTATTGGTACTAATGGAAAAATGATATATGCATTGGTATGATACCTGATTTTCTGATAATTATATTGATTCTTACTAGAGATGGGTATACGGGCCCCGTTTAGTCTGCGGGTTTTGACGGTACGGGTTTAAACGAAGCAGTTTAAAAAGCCCGCAATCATAAATGATCTTGAATTCTAAGGCCCGATGCCCGTCCATTTAATCCGTGGGCTAAATGGGGTTACCCGTTTACTGTTTATTGTTTATGTGAAAAAAGAGAAAAGTTAGGGAGATAGAGAAAAACGGCGGAGAAGGTAAATAAAAAAATGAGGCTACGGTTCCTACAATTTTATAACGGCGTATCTGTAATATAAGTCACCAAAATAATGTATTTTAGGGATTTAGGGCAACCATGACAAGTTTTAATGTGTTAATCGTGTAAGGGCTCCACCCACTTTTGAATTAATGCAATATAATCCTCAAATATAGTTTATTATTTTAATTTTGCACTCCAATTTCATGTATGTTTTTGTATCACTGCCTCATGTTTTATATATCATTTGCATAACATGTTACTTTATCTTTTTAATTTAATTATTATATTTATACATGGTTTAATACTTTGATTTATTTTTTTCTGTTTTTTTAACGTATATGTTTATAGTTTTTCTTATGATTAATTATTGGAGTATAATAAACGTTTTATGGATTATTTATATATATATTGATGGTATTAATTATAAATGGTAAATATGTATATTAAAAGATGGAAACCTTTTTACTTATGTTATCTATTACGTTATCATAGGTATAATTAATACGTTCGAACTTCAAAATTGGATATCATCAAGTTAAAACGTGAATTGGGCTTTATATTTCAGTGCACATAAAACGTGAATTGGGCTATGGCTAAAATGCACATAAAACGTGAATTGGGTTAAACATGAATTGTCTTCCGTAAAACATAAAATAAATTGAAAAAATAATAATTAAATTAAGCAGGTTACACGCGGGTATACCCATTAAACCCACGGGTTTAACGGTACGGGCTAAAAAGCCCGTAATTTAAACGAGTTTTATTTTTAAGGCCCAAAGCCTGCACGGGCCGCGGGTTATACGGGTAGCCCGCGAGCCTTAGCCCATATACCTAGCTCTAATTCTTACTTCTTTCTTTCGAGAATTGAAGAGTGTATTAGACATTTATTAGGTATCTTGAATTTAACGAATAATTTATAAGAATAATACTCAAAACAACATTTATTTATTCAAATAATATTATTTATAATAATGATAATTTTTTTAAATTAAAACATGTTCCATAGAATGTATCTTTGTTGACAGGATAGGTTCTTAGAACGGTACGTTAACGACATTCAAGACTAATATAAAAGAAATAAAAATAATAGATAGGATTATATGAATTTTATTTAAAAAGAAATAAAAATATAAGGTACATGTAAGATTTAAGAATTTTATGATAAAAATCAATTGATTTTGAGTTGCCAAATACAATTTTAAATTTGATTTCATTCATATTTGTGTGATAGCTAAAGATAATTTGGATATTGAGATAAATTGTCCTTCACTATCATATAAATACGAGTCTGATCAAATTTAAGAATTATATTTGACAGTTTAAATTAACAAGTTTTTGTTTTGATATTTTCAAAGCTCATATTATTTATATATGAGTTTTTAAATTGTTTAAAAATAGTTATATAAACATATTGAGTGATAGAAGATAAAGTTTATACACATGCATAATTGTTGTCGTTCAATCGGTTATCATGCATGTTATTTCTTTTTCGAATAAAATGTGTACACTTTTTGACTTACTATTCTTATTTCTTTCATTTTGGTCATGGATGGCGTTAGTGTAGGAAAGATAAGCTGAAAAATCTATCATGTTAACAAAGAATGTTATTTTGATCAATAATGTTATTTTAAGTATCATTCTTATGATATTGTTTAAATTTAATAAGACATATAAGTTACAATTACAATTTCCAAAGGCACCCTAAATAATCCATGGCTTAGCATATTTGTAAATTGTTATTAAAACTTTAGAAGCCTTCCATTGAGAAAAAAATAAAATTACTATGAAATCATTTGATTCACGAATTCAAAATTATTAGAGATAACCCTAGAAACGTGCCATAAGTCAAAATCAAAAACCGTCCCCGCCAAAAGCAAAAAAGAAAACTAGAGATAACCCTTGAAACGTGCCACAAGAACAGAAATCGAACTAATCTATTATAAATATAAAATATAAAATTTTCATAATAATATTATATTTTATGAATATTTCGACTTTTAATTTATTTTTTATTAATCTAGGATAAATATAAGACAATATTTGTTTAAAGATAACTTTTAATCATTTGTCATTAAACATTTATACCCTTAACATTCATGGTGTTCAAACTCGAAAATCATATCGAAATTATTTGATTCATAGTATAACTTTTAATTTTTTTTATGGGACAGACAAAGGATGTTTATATGAAGTGACAATTTGCAAGTATTGTTTCTTTTAAAAGTAACTCCCATGGTAGTTCTAACGTAAGATAATTTTAATATACGACTAAAGAAAAGCGCTACTTGAAATGTTATTATTTTTTAATATTTTTGGTAAAAAATTACCTAAAATATTATTATTATTTTTACCTAAAACATTAATTTTTTTAATATTTTTGGAAAAGTTCCTAATATTAACAATTTTGGTAGAAAAAAATAATACTTTAGGTACGTTTTACCGGATATGTTAAACATTTTTTTATAAAAGCCCAATAATAACATTTACTGTAAAAAAAATAATATTTTAGATAATTTTTTACCATAAATGTTAAAAAATGATAACATTTCTTGTAGCGTATTTCTTTAACAGTATATTAGACATATACTAAATTTAGTCGATAGTTATAGAAAGTAAGAATATTTTCTTCTTGGGTGTCACCTCATAATAAAGAAATGTATAATAATATTGGAAAACTTTTAATAATTGTGAAAATAAAATCATATAGCAGATTTTTCAATAATTGTGAATATAAAAGGGCATTGGTATTTAATAAGACTTGTATATAATTGAGGGAATGAAAAGGCATCGATAAGACTTGTATTTTCTTCATCAGAGAATATTTGAAATTTTATTAAAATTTATATATAAAAAGTACAAGACGAAACAGTCTAAAACACAACCAAAACCAATAAAAAAAACCCGAACAACATTTCCTTTTACAAAATATTTTTCTATAACGCATACACATTTATAAACTCGAGATCTTTAAAAAAAACATGAAAATTGTTTCATAAGTTTTTCATCCTAATAATATTTTTTAATAGATTTTAAATTTAATCATAATCCTATCTAGAAGAGAGTGGACTGGA